TTTTTTTTTTTTTTAAATATTGTACATATTGGTGATTAAGGGTATTCACTATATGTGTCAGTTGCTTCTGACACTAATTCTTATCATCCACACTAATTCTTATTATCCAAGCATTTTGTGTTTAATATTTTGGTCTTTTTGTCGTAAGATTTTTCACGAACCTAAAAACAGTTTTCAATGCTACACCAGGAACAAAAACATTAGCTTTCCTTTGTTTATTTCGGCTGATAAAGTTCTGATCGATAGAAAATAAATTAGTTTAACAGAATACGTTCCAAGTTACTAAAAAAGTTGTTTAGAACTCCTATTAAGACGTAATGAAATGTACCGCAAATGTTAAATGTAACGTAGCCAGTGAAAAACTAAAAAAGTTGTTTTTTGGATACTTAAATATCCTTTACAAAGGGATATTTTACATGTTTTCTAATTATTGTCGATAATCCTACGTGTGCCGTATGGAAAAAAAGAAATCGTAGCAGACTTCGTTGCACAACTACCTACTATATAAGTGTAACACGGCCAGTGTTTTTCTTCTTATTAAAATTTTTTATTGGCTTGATAACTATTCTCATTTCCTTTTAGCAATAAATAATAAGACATATTTAAGAAAGTGTTTGGGTGGCNTATAAGTGTAACACGGCCAGTGTTTTTCTTCTTATTAAAATTTTTTATTGACTTGATAACTATTCTCATTTCCTTTTAGCAATAAATAATAAGACATATTTAAGAAAGTGTTTGGGTGGCCAATTTCGAATTAAGTATTATACTACTAAATATTGATAACTATTCTATTTAAATAAAGCGAAGCTAACATTTGTAAAATATTCGTTCAAATATATATCTCTAAAGATTTTGATTATATATGTAATTGCCTGGAATTAATGACATTTTTTGCAACGTGTAAAACTGATAAGCTATCTGCCCCTTTCACGTGATTGTATTCCTATCACTACATTTTTATAGAATCTGATACAAGTCTACACCAAACTATGAAGAGTTTATTTTGTCTAAAATTTGTTGTTGGATCTGAATTCGGAAAGTAACCGAATTTGAGGATAGCGTTGAAAAGGTCAGAAAGAATTGCTAGTGCAACATTCGGTAGCTCTATTAGCATTTTCGGAGTTATAAAATCAGCACCCGGCGATTTCTTTGGATTAAGCTGCTTTACTATAGCTTTTACTTCTAGAGAGTTCATCTTGCTAGGTGTGTATAGGNTAGAATCTGATACAAGTCTACACCAAACTATGAAGAGTTTATTTTGTCTAAAATTTGTTGTTGGATCTGCTTATTTTCATCTATTAAGCCTAACAACAAGTTTAAAAATCTTACGTCTAATTTTACAATAATGTAGCTCAAACCCTGGGGTTGAGCCCTATTGTTTTAACGTCGCTCAATTAAAGGCTGATAGATCTCTTCTTCGCAGGCGTGTTATATTTGTTGTGTGCACAGGCCACTTGCCAGTGGATTTGGGTGGTTACGCAGTTTTATTTTGTATTTTTCTCTGCTGCTGTCGATTACAGATTTAACCATCGGTATACCAAGGTCTCTATGTATATTTCCATTGCGGACATACCACGGTGCTCCCGTGGCCCTTAGCGTTTTAGATTGGNCCATAGAAAGTATCTTTCAGTAGAATTCGGGGAAAGCTTCTTAATGTACCTTTGCAAGTTGCGATCCTCAGCACGTTTGAGAGCTTGTTTCAGTTTTCTACTGACAGCTTTATACAGTAGCTGTGAGGTTGGTGAGCGATGGCTCTGCCACTGTCTTCTTAGGCGCCGCTTTTCTGCCACAAGTTTTTCTATTTCGGTATTTGTAACTGATGTATGCGTAGGTGGTACTTGGACTTGATTTGGTGTTGCCAGGCCAGCGGCTGAAGTAAAAGTTTCTTTACGATGTTCAACAAGGGAGTCTACATCACGCTCGCAGTTAAGTGCAGCGTTTAATTTAAGGTGACTACTGATGTATTTTTTATATTTAAGCCAGTTGGTGTTGTTTGAAGTTAGACGAGGCTCAATTTCGATATTTTGGGTCTGTTCATATAGTTTTATTAATATAGGGGAGTGATCGGATGATAGTTCAGGTAGAGTTTTTGCTGTTATGTTATTTCTATATATGTTTCTTGTAATTGCGAAATCTATTAGGTCTGGTATCTTCTTTATATCGGTAGGCCAGTAAGTAGTTTTACCAGGAGATGTGACCTCTAGTCTATTGTGCCTGTTTATAATGGTATTGTATAGCTGCCGCCCTTTTGGGTTAATAAGGCGTGATCCCCAGTACGTATGCTTTGCGTCTTGGATGGTATTAACCAAAAACAATGATTCAAAAAAGATTAAAAAGGAAACACATAACGCTTTAGATGAACTTATGCCTATTTTATGTTAAGAAACATAAGTGGTTTTGCAGTAAGGTTAAATAAATATTATTTGGGATGATAATTCAAAGATTTCCCGGTCAAAAATTTTTCCGTAGGATGATTTTTCAACTAGTTAGGATTTTTAAGGATAATCGAGTGATAGAGAGATAATAGAAGATTCCCAATGTTAGCTCAAACATTTATTTATGACGACATAAAAGGAAT